TACGCGTTGGAGTAGGTAGCGTGTGGGTCTCCGGATCCTTCGTTCATCTTTAGGTGGCAAGGTCACATCATCCGTTCGACCAAGCAACGGTGTGCCAGGCATGACTTCGATATCCGGAATGACATAATCATGACTGTGCAGCCATGTGAGGTTCAAACGGGTTCAAACGTGAAAAGTCAATGTTACAACTTCTTGATGGCGTCTAGACACCATCCCTTGGATCCGAAATGGACCAGGAAAGCCAAGGACTATGCTGTTATCAATCACCTCCTTCCAGGCAGGCAAGAATACAACACATGGGATGGGTATGGATCGGTCCATGAACATTTCTGACACTCCAACCATTTTGGACGTCGGTGGAATTTACAAGAATTGGATGATTAGTAGACCACAGCAATCAGTTGCGCTTCAGGGAATGGCTCCGCCTTGGAGAATTTGCCCATCGGGTGGGCTCAACCCAGTCAGACCAATTGACTTGAACAATGAGTCACCATATAGCAGTCTCCCATCAGGAACCCCATGGGCATGCCATCATGCCCCGGGCCAGGGCCCCCCATCATCACGTCGGTCGACTCCGGAGGTCTTCCGGAGTTGAAAAATCCCTTCGTTCATCCGAACCTATTGCCCAACACACCAAAAAGGCCTTCAGAAGTGCCCCCACCTCGCCCACCGGGTGCCCCCCGCCAGGACCGAGGATGGTTCCTCCTGTGCCGCCTTGGGCCACGTCTGTCGACTCTGGACATCCAAGGAGTCTGTCGTCAGAGTTGCAAATGAAAAGGTTTCACATGGTTTCACGGTTCAAGGCGGGCATTTGCCAACTACATGGTGATTTGTGGTCCAACAACTCTTGACTCCACCCCAAACGTGCCACTTACGACGTTGTTTTCAAACGAACGGACCACGTCCGCAGGACCGGCCGGCCCCGCACCAGAGACACGTTTTCCACCGGGTCTGTCCGTCCACACCCGATCCTCTCAAGCTGTTGGGAAGAACCCACAAAATCCAGAAAGAACCCAACCATTGCTTTGTGAAGAAACCCCCTTCCTTTAGAACCTCAAAACTCTTTGAGGTCGACGGGTTTCGGAAAGAAATCCCATTCTACTGACGAACGATCTCCGTACCGACTGGTGCCTCGAACTTCTCGAAGACCTGAGCGAAAAGAAAACAAATCAATCTCAATCCAGGTGGCTGCTTCCAGGCAATTCATGTCACAGTGGAAAAAGTTGACCAAGATTCTACGGTTCCTTTTCCTCCTTAGCTCCCAATAATCCACTTCTCAAACTTAGCTCCGCCGGTTCGCATCAGCGTTTCACAGCGAATCCATACAGACGAAACACGCAGTGAACATATTTATTAATATAAAGTCAATCAATGTAGCCAGTGATTGCAGTCAGACTAAGGGAGATCTCAACGCGAGCCCCTTATTCATGTGGACCTTGGGGGTTGAAGTATACCATTGTATAATATAGAAAGATCATGAAATACCAGACATGCCAAACATTATTGAGCCCAAACCGTGTGTTGTCTTTGGCAATGGAATGTGGCTTCCAGGCAATACCATGCATATATATATATATATATATAGAGAGACCCAATGAGTCCTGCCAGCAAACATGGTCAAAACTACCTAGAACCCATACCTCCCTTATTCGGACGACCAACCAACCCAAATATGGCCCCATGTGCCACTGCATGCCACTTCAACACTGGTATCACGTCATCCTGAAACCCATCATTGTTCACATCGCATCACAAAATTCAACCAAACAAACCATTTGCCAGGCCATGGACATGAGCATGCATGCAGCTTTTGATGACCCCACCGATGGTGTTTGTGTTTTAGGGTGTTGGACCTGCAAATTACATTTTCCTCATGGTGGGTTTGGGTCCTTGGTGCTCAGTGTGGTATTATTGCTCCCAGTAGTTAGTGTGCCGTGGTTTAGATCTCACCCAAGATCTAAACTCGGGAATTCCAGCTTCTGTCTTGCAACAACATCCTGTTGTTCCAAACAAGTAGATGAACGATCAGTCGACCATGCTGACACACGTGGTCACCACGCAGCCACCGCCTTTGGCCCCTGGCACGCGACTTCTTCCGCCTGGAGGCAGGACGGATCGGGATCGGGTGAGGCAGGGGATCTTCGTCTTCCAGTCATCCAGGAGTCATAGAAAAAAACAAAGAACAGTGAATTCACCCATGAAGTTCATGCCAAGTTCAGCTCTTCACAACACCCGCGTGGAGCTTCGCATCCGTTCGTGGCATCCTGACGTTGCGAATCGAGCTCCGATGGCTCTGAGAGGCGAAACAGAGGCGAACGGATGCTGGCGAACCCACCCTCTGGCCTCCAGAAAACACGGTGCTTTTGATTGGGGTTTCAATGGACATCCCAGCGATGTCAGGTCCTTCCCAGCGGAAGCCTCCGCGGAGTCCAGAAATACGACCGAGTTCATGTAGTTCATGAGGGAGTCAGGGAGCAATAGTTCTCCAGGCGTCAAAAGCCGGACCCAACAGGACAGCGCCAAGAATCCTGCCCTGGCTGCCCTGCCCTGCCTGGAATCATGGGCCAACGTGAAGAATGGTTTTCACTCCACGTCCATGAGTATTTCAGACATGTGTAGACCATAAAGGAACACGCCACATGCGGTTTTCAACCTGCGGGTTCCTCAATGTCACTTTCTGAGCCATCGTCACTTCTGCAACTTCGACTCTCTCTCCCTCTCTCTCGCTCTCTCTCTCTCCCTCCCTCCCTCCCTCCCTCGCTCGCTCTCTCTCTCTCTCTCTCCCCCGCAACATAGCCACCCATGCTATGTCCAACGCCGAGGCCTCTTTGCTGGTGGCGCTCCACTCGCGGCCTTAGACCTGGAGTCTTTGTCCCGTTCTTTTAAACCTTGGGGCTTGGCCTCTCACGCCTTTCACATGACCCCCGGGCACAGAAACGTGTGGTGCCTAGCGACCCCTAAAAAGTTTCCGTTTCCGGCTCCAGCATCTCCTCTACACTTGAGAGGCCCATGACACACATAGCAATTGAACATATTTACTGTAACTCCATTCTACTTGTCATTTCTTTAAATCTGTATATAGATTGCCTCGAAGAGGATTCACCCAAAAGCAATGAACACCCCAAATGACCAAATCAAATCACCCTAAGCAAAGGAAGTCAGGTCTAGAGAACCATCCTTGGGAGATTTGTTGCTTCGAAGCACCGCAAAGTGATGAAACCAGATTCCTGGATCCACACCACTGACATGTGCGGACGACTGCTTGACATCACAGGTCGTATATAGTATATATATATGTATATATATTAATATATATAATTACATATAATTACCAATCAATGCTTTAAACAATGATTCAACTAACACAAACATGAACGGATTTTACATGAAGAGTCTCAGTCTGGGTGAAATCCTAGCCCTTTGGATCATCCTTGCTGAGTTTGACAGGTGACTTCGCCCTTGCTAAGGAGCTCTGAACCCAGCCGTGCCTTTCGGACTCCATCAGCAAGTGAGTAGGAGAGAAAAAACAAAAGCAATTCCACAGGGTTGATTCCGATTCCCGTTGATGAACTGCGAACTACCCAACTGCTCTTTCCCCATGGGGCGGGGTCCAAGGAGGGAACCACGTATTGCATCCAGGGCCGAAAGACATGGACAGGGCCATCACAAGGACTGCTCACGTGCGAAACCATGAGGACTGATATATGTCATCAGAAACTGCTCCAAACCATGGTGGGTGAAGTTTGTTCTTGACCAGGCTTTGTGGACCCAACAGCCTCCTCTCGAGCAGAAGTGGCGGCAGCAGCAGTTGAACCAGAAGCTGCAGGTTGGGTGGAAGAAGAACACCAAGACATTCCATTTGATTCTGGAATGATTTGGCCCCATTCAGCATCCAGTGACCATGGCAGCAATGTTTATCTGACAAATTATGTATCTTCTCCGAAGAGTCTTCGGGGAGATAAGGCGGCCATGAGGCTGCAAGGATAACCATGTTCTGCAACATGTGACCAATGTGGGGATTTGACCTGGAGCCCTCAACGCCGTGTAGCTATGACCTTCCAGGTAGGTCAACCAAATCTCCCTCAAATTCATAAGACTTTGATTGAATACACCTCCGACCTAGGCTGCAAACCCCGGTTTCATCCAATGGTTTGGTTCCCAGGTCCCATGACTCATTGCCAAGTTCTCTTCACACAAAAATTAATATTTGACATACGAGAAGTGTAAACAATTTGGGATAATGCTAAGCAACGACCCAGTAACAAGACCGCAGAACACATACGTACATCGTTTTGACCGGATTCAGAGAAAATTAAAACAAATGCAAGTTTGAAGAAACATCAATCATCAACAAACATGAACATCATATCCCTAAAGAAACGCCGCACCCAATGCTGTTCAGACCTTCCTCGTGCTTCGGCTGTTTGGACGACCGGTCTGAGGGTTTTTCGGGCGCCCCAATGTTTTGCTGCTTATACACATGTCTGACCCAGCTCCATGATGGTGCAACAACATGGGCCTATACATTCATCAACCACGAAAGAAAACCAGTCATGTAACATGTAGGCCATGTAACATGTAGCAGTTTGATTGGTTGTGTCTGAAAAAAAGAAGAATGTGTTCATGTAATTTCCGACCATGTGAGGCTAAGTTTCATGTCCAGTGACCCTTAAGGGCCATGATCGATTGTACCAAACATAGAAGTCGGAGAAGAAACAACACCTGCAACATCGGGATCGATGGTGGTTTGGGGGCTCCGCCAGTTCCCGCTTTCGTGCTTCGGTTGGTTTTTGGAGAGCATTCTCAGCCTCCTTCGGCTCTGGCTTTTTGCAGCAAGACCTGGGGGAACAGGAGTCCCACACCTCATGTTGTCGGTGAGGGTGTCATGGTTGTCATGTGAAACGGCCACACGCCACAGATACCTCGATCGACGGCAAGGCCGATGTTCCATGCAAGCGGGCATGTAGCAGCAGCATGCAGGTCTTCTTGGAGCTACCAGGGCAGTGTGCTTTTTTTCTCAGCTCGTCGTGTTGGTCGCCATCCAAAAGACTCGTCCCCCCAAAACCATCCCACAGGTCCACCACTTGCCATGTGCGAGGTCCACCGGAAGGTTCCATGACCAGACCCCGGCTGCCGGTCGGCTTCGGCCTGCTACCGATACGGCCCGGTGAGTGAAAGTCTCCGTCGAAAGCAGAGCAAGTGTCCGTTATCCACAGGTCATGCGGCAAGGCAAGTGCGCACCTACTCCTTCAAACCAGCCGCCCTTTGAGATGTTTTTGTGAAACAACCCGCAAATGCAAATTTGAGGTGATCTTGATGGTTTCAAGGAAATGGGCAAGGTCGAGGCAGGCCTCATGCCAGCGGTGAAGGAGCTTGATAGGCTTGGCGTCAAGTCCGCGCCATGTGAATTGTCCAGGTCATTCTCACGTTGCCATTCCAGGGTCTGGGTTCTTCCCTTTCCTGGGCAGAACTCGGGTCAATGTGTTTGAAGATGTTTGAAGCAGAAACAAGCTGGTTTCGGCTTTCTCAAGTCACCCCCTCGCATGGTGATATCTGCTAGCATGGTTCCTCGATAAATCTGCAGCCATCCGTTGAAGTGCAACCAATGGGCATGTACCCCCTTTGCTGCATTGTGAGAGGAGCAAACACACATCTGTCCATGGATGATCTCTACACGAGGTGCCCAAGCACCTTGGCCAATCTCTCCATCCTGAATCTTGTCACCTTGTGTCACCCTCAACTCTAGACCTACCACCCACCCCGGCAAACGTCTCTCCTGCGCGGTCATATGCCGGTTCCACCGCTTCCTCAGATTCGTTTCCGGGTCCAGGGAGGCGCGGGCAAACAGTGCGGAGACTGGTCCAAGAGCCGCAGGTTGAAAACGTGTTGAGACGTCCTATCGTTTTTGAAGAATAACTGGTGCGGCGTCTGGTGTCTTGGTTGAGAAGTCTCGTTTTTGCAATGATTTCCCTGGACCCTCAAAGTACCCACCATAGTCAGCCCAAGTATGTCATACATGGAATCCGGATGCATGCGTCGTGTCCCATGTTCGAGTCCTTTGGGGGCCCCGGTCTGTTGAACCTGTTCCCTCAAAAGCAACTCCAAAATGTCCAACATCCTGATGTTCAATGGGACTGGACATATTGATTTCAGTCAGTCCGTTTCGGTTTCAAGACACGTCTGGTGTAGGATCCGCATGTGGATTGTACCTACTCCTGGAACCTGAGGCACCTCTATTTTGGATCACCACCCATTCAAAACTATGATCTTTTCCTATCAAAACAAAGGTCAAATGAGCTCTAGGCTAGTAGAAGCTAATTGGAGGTCCTCAACAAAAATAAGTTGGCCCTCTTTGGGGGACATACACCAACCATCCGGGCAAACCTCGACCAAACCGACACTTCCTGGAGCGACATGCCTAAGAGGCCCAACCAATCCATGGACCCTCCGAGCAAATATAGCAGGGGACGGGACAGCAAGGGTCTGGGACCCTCAAAGAACCTTTCAATTTGAGGGTCCGGATTGTGGTGGCCAACAGATCTAGCTGGACGCACCAGTGTTTGACATCATCTGGAGGTATTGCTCTCTTAACAAAAAAAAAGCTAAACAAAATAAATGTTAAAACATTGTTCCGTTCACCCTCAACGACCCTTCCTTCCAAGGACCGCTGTCGGTGCCCAGTGGCAGCTCTTCGGTGAAGACCTCGCCTGGATCGCCTGGGTCGGTCGAACCACGAAGAAGCGGAGAGCGCCAGCGTAAGGGGCGGAGAGTTCCTCTGTTGAGACAGCCACACAAAGAAGATATATCAGGCTTTAGGCATTGTGTTGTTTATGTTTTTTCCGGTGCAAGCACATGAAACACATATGGAAACCAATTAATATTGTATCACATGAAAAAGTGCAATATGGTTTGTTCTGCAAGGGTGGACATGCTGTTTATTGCACTTGGACAATATTTGCACATTGGTTTCATTTATGCTGTTTATTGGGTTTCATCCCAAGTGTCGCTTTAATGACTCGGCTCGTGACGGAACGATCAGAATGTTTGGCCTCAAGCTTCAATGCCGTACCTCAAAACATCTTTATTTTTGTGCATGTTCATCTTGAACCACCTGTGGGTACATATCCCTACAAAAACCAACGGAACAAAGGTGTTCATGACCCACCAGCACCAGCCCTTAGACCAAACCCCGTCCACATGAGTGCCACCTTTCGCAGGTCTGGGAGATGGGTGTGGCGGTTTCCAGACCTCCCACAGACTCCCTACAGGCTCGAGAACGGGAAGAAACGTCAGACCGATCGAGTCAGGAACAGGAATCATCCAAACGAAAATGGAACTCCGCCTGGTACTTCCTGATATGTCCAAGTGCTTCATGCCATCACATGTAATTATAAAACAACTAAGGTCGGTCTTTCTCTGATTTCTACAATTCATCATCAGTTCCAATCGCCAGACTCACCAACATTTTGTGGTAGACCATGGTCTATCCATCTGTGTGTGCATGTAGCTTGACCATCTTAACCCCACATAACCCCACTGAGTTTGCCTCGTTGCCGGCGTTGCGGTTCCGTCGCTGCGTGGCAGCGCCCCCAAGAGTTCCCCGGCGCAGCCCGGCGAGGCCCGAGACGCCCGTGTGGGACCTGGTCCAAAGAGAAGGAGCTTCTACCAGTGGCCCCCCCCGGGCCCCAGGCCCGGCTGCCGGGCCATGCCGGGCCGTTTCAGGGGTGTCCAATAAGAGCTTAACCTCAGAGGTTCATGGGTGTCTATGGAACCACCCCCGAAGCGGGGGAGCTGGTATGAGATACATCAGGAACTGTTGCGAAGTGCTTGGTGTTTCATCTCAATAGTCTCGCTGCATCCACGTTCGAAGGCTAAGCTTCCAACACATGGACCCTCCGACGGAGGCTTCCGACATGGTAGGCCCTGAAAAGGTGGAAAACATGGCATGACCTGGTCTGGCGAACCTGGCGAACCTGAATAGGATACCTTTCCGCCCAAGCCAAGGGAAAATGATAACATATACGACATATACGTACACATATACTATACTACTGATAGAACCTGCGGGTGCCTTTTCGTCCCATATTTGGGGCCACCCAACAGTCCGGACACTGCTTCTAATACATCTTTGGACCTGTCATGTCATGCTTCTCTAACGCTCGGTCTAGATCAAAGAGCAAAGCATCCTCATGCATCCTCGAACATCTCACGACCTCAAAAGGTCTACAAACAAACACATGTGGATTTTGGAGACATGTTCTCGCAAAGAACTTACACATCTTAGCAAGTAGTTATATCATAGCTACCGGGTGTTACCGTGCCCTGACCTAACTTAAGTTGTCCTAAGTTCCTCACTGGTGGGTAAATATTCTCACATAATAAGTTTCCCATAGTTTCCCGAATGCCAATATCTAAAATAGAAATAACATGTGTGGTTAGGCATAGGTTGACATAGTAACATGTGTCATTTCATTCAAATGTGCATTTGGAGCACGGCTAAACAACATGGACAAAACCATCCTCAGTTGCCTTGTTAGCTTGCCTCTTGGCATCTCTGCTTCTCTGACAGGACGACCTCCAAAGTAACAGGCACCACCGAGCGAGGTGGCTGAGCCATCTCGCGGTCCGTGCGCATCTGTCGTTCCTGTGCGCCGCCCAGTCCAGGCGCCGCTTCGGTGACTGGTCAGCCCCAAAGCGTGAGGTCCAGTGAGTCAAGGAAGGTGCGTCACCACGCTGCGTGAGGTCCGCGACGTCGCGACGCGGCGATGCGAAGCCTTTGGCGACGAGATCGCCGTGAGACGCCAAGAAGTGCAAGCGCCACGCCTGGAGACGGCCTTGACGACCTCCTGTGATCTGCCATAGCAAGGTGCTGCACGTCGTGATGGTCTGCAGTGCATACCCCGCACCTTGCATTTCAGGCCGTGACCTCAAGGCATAGGCGCGCCCGGCGAGCCAGAATGCAGAAGGGGATGATGATGGGTTCCTCCGATCATTCGATGAGATTTTGCCAAGGGGGTTCCAGACAGCGTTGACACTCTTTCCAAGTGCGTTTGATCAAGTGATGAGACTCAAACGCCAATGACTGAAGGGTCGTAGCGACTGAAGGGTGACGATCTTGTTGATGCTGATCAGAGGCGGCTGGATCCGGAGGTAGAAAAACATATATACTTTTTCACTGCCAAGACACAGCGCAAGACGAGGTAGACGCTGTATTCTTCGGTTGCAGATTCTGGAACTAGCGTTGTCACCAAAGATGCCTTGGAACTTCATCAGACTTGATGTCCCCTTCATCATCTTGATCAGGACTCTCATCCACAATGGATTCAGTCCCTCAGGCCTCAGGACATTTTTCGGGACAGGTGAGTTCACGCCCGGATCTGGGACCCTTCATCTAGTCTGGTGGACGCCTTGTCACTTGAGATCAATGGTTGCTTGCGTAGACGCCGTAGATGCTTCAAGAAATGGCCCGTCCGAAGCGGTGACAGGACAAATGCTATACCCCAAGAGTATGGGCCCTCAAATGGGAAGCTTTTGAGGTTCCGGACCCCTGCTATGTTCCAAGGTGTCGGGTCCGAGCCCTGCCATGGAGGGTTGAGGGATTCTTCCTTCTGTTCTGGATTTTTGGCTCGGCTAGAGGACTCTTGACCACCCCAACCATGGAAAACGGATGCGACAAGTAATGCTGATACCGGTGTTTTGAACAGTGTATTGGACTCTTGACTCCTCTCTGAGACCTCCGGCCGCTCAGGAGAAGAGTCTGGGAGGCGCAGCTCCTGCAAGTGAGATCCAACAAAACAGTTCCCCCCGAATAGATTGAATAGATAGTATGTTATATTATGTTATATTTATGATAGTATGTATTCTGTAATGTAATATATGTATATAATGTTCCCAAAACAGTATACATCATGTGCCCAAGCACTGTTCTTGGAGCCTTATTATTGCAATTTATTGGTGGAACTAACAATGTGGAACGCCGCTCTTTTGGTGGACGGGTAAAGGGCCTCAGTGGACCTTCAGATCAGGTAACGTCGGAGAATTGTACGCCAGCAGCACCAAATATACTTATAGAGCTTGGGTCTATCCTATTGCCAGTAACAAGTAACAGTGGATGATGATGGTTAGTAAAGGCCTTTTTCGAAAGTAGTGATAATCGTTACTGACTGTTATATACAGGTAATAATAGGACAGATCCTAAAAAGGCCTCTTAGAGCCCATTCGATATCTGTTTTGATAGGGAAAAACACAAATCATACTTTGGATGGGTGGTGATCCAAAATAGAGAATCCCTCAGGTTCCAGGTCTAAAAATTACTGTAAATCATATTAAATAAAGTATAGTCAGCCAACACCTAGTGCATGGATTGTTGCAGTAATTGCTTGGCATCCACTCATGATGGCTCCTCCTGGGTTGAGATTTCAATGTCAGCGGTGTGATGACCCGTCCGATTATTATATATATAATGGCAAACTTTTCGCTGGGCATTTGATTGGTCCCCTACCCCCTGCCCCGGCCAAAACCTCGATGCCCAGTCTCAGTGGTAACTCATGAGCAAATGGGACTTGGGGCGTTCCCTTCGGGCATCCAATAGGCACAGGGATGCATCAAATCACCTCAACCTATGCACGGATTCATTGATCCCCGTTCTTTGATGTTCGCAAAGGACAGTCAGACCTGTGCACAAGCAAAAATCATAGCCCGATGGTCGAAGATCCATGATTGGTCAGACTATGTCTTGGACTGCCTGATAGTCTCCCGACAACTCTTCCTATCCGATCCACATGATCCAGCGCTTTTCTTTATCGACAAACAAAAACAAAGCTATGCTCACCTTGCTCAACTCCATGCTGAACAAAGAGCTTGTTCTTACACGACATCCGTGCTAAAGATATCTGCTCTGGGTCAGACTCCTTGAGGTCTTTGCTTGATAGGCCTAGTGGCATGGGATGCTTCTCAAGGCCTAGTGGGCACATCTCAGAACCCTCACAAACAGGCCATGTGTCATCATGCCGTTCGATCGATCTTGTTCTCCTCATCTCCCCTTCTTCAGATTTGGTGCACAGCCGTGCAATGTCTTCGGCTGGGTGTCCTCATTGCGGCCCCAGGGGTTTCACATTAAACGGAATCTACCACTAGGCCATGGGCGGCCACGGGCGGCCTAGGGTCAAAGCTACACAATTCCCGGCTAAATAAAACCTGACCAACGGGTACGTCTATCACCCCATCAAACATCAACTTCAAACACCTTCCATGCCAAACTGAGGTATCTTGGGTCTTGGGGGGAAACTATACTAAACACAACATCTTCCTGCCAGTACATGGCATCTTTCGCACTCACTGAGACGAAAGGACCTTTCGCACGTCATTTTCCGGCTCCTTCCGGGTGGCATCGGGTCCGCGCGTCATGGCCTCGCAGCAGCATGGGCAGGTGAGCTTGCAGCATTCGGGTGAGCCGAACCGCGGCTGCTCGGTGTGGCTGGGAGAAGATCTCTGAACTGGGCAACCTCCAAAAAGGACCGGGACTCCTTCACCTTGATTTCAAGGTCACGCACCCAGCGAGCCGAGCGCCAATCGGATCGATCAAAGTTCAATGACAACCGCACCTGGATCTTGGTCGCCTCCAACCAACGTTCACCTCGGTCAAACAATGTCAAACACATGGCAGTTGCTGACCTCCTCAGTTTCCCTGGAACATACAGGGTTACCGGAACCCTTTTCTACTTGTTGAATCTTAGTGGGGAACCACTCTCCACAAAAAAGTTTGGCAGGTTATCGGCTATCCACTAATTCCTGGGTAGGCATCTCGATTCTGTGGTCGTGAGGAGTGACAGTTTGCACCGAACCTAGCGCCATTCAAAGAACAAGTACAAGCGTGAGCAAGATGCTCCTGCCGTCAATCTACCAACAATGTAGACTCTTGATTTAACACATCCTCCATATGAAGAGGTGTTTCAACTCAAATGAGGTGGTGAATTGCTCCTCAAGAGTCTACATTATACGTATCACCTCTTTCCCGGGGGTCGTGTCCGTCGTTTCGCCTCGGAAGGAGTCGCGCCTCTGACCCTCGGTCGCCGGTTCAAACGGGGCAGACCGCTGGGCGGTCCAGAGTCACCCCAGTCGCAGCAAACAACAGCTTGCTGCTATTAGCTGCTAGCTGCTACACGCACCACGCAAACATGTCCAAAAGTACCCATGTGTTGAAACATGTTGACACATCCTACATCTTCGGAGGACCCCTTGGAATTTGAGGATCATACATTGACAGGAGGAATCTCTAGTACGCACACTGTTTATGGATGGCTCTACTACAAGTGCTCAAAGTCTACAGAGCTTGAAGGTTTCTTCGAAGCGCTTGCTACTGGGCCCTGCACACAGTGCAAAACACGCCATAGTGACCAAAAGCCAAGAGACCCAATGCCCAAAACAAGCCCAAAACAAGCCCGTTTGTGGTTGAATCCCTGTCAAACAGCTGGCTTTGTGGGTGGATTGTAGGCCTTTTCCGCTTCCAAACATGAGCGGATGAAAGTATATACGTGTTGCTTGTGAGAATGTCTTGACCCTTCTTGACCCCAAAATTCCTGATTCCAAATCCAAGACCAAGCCACGATCTTGTGCGTGTCCGCTGTAGCCGTTCCGCGCGTCCTGCGTTTGTTTGGCAAAAACCAAAGGGTACCCAAACAACCAAAGAATTCACACTGCCTTCTACGAACTACAGTACTACTTCTACTTATTGCATACCCCGGTTCGTTTTGCCCTGTTTTGTGGTGGCAAGGCTTTTGAACCTGCAATGAGACTCGCCTGGCCTCAGCAAAGGCCAGTCTCATGTCCGGGTCTTTGATGCAAGAAGGTTGTGGTCTTCGCTTCCATTGATTTCATGCGATTGAAGCGGTCGTCCTCTTCGTGAACCCCAAAAACACGAGCTGAGGAGCTGCGGTGCCCGGTTCTATCCCACATCTGGTGATCTATGATCAGAAGACCTCGACTGACTGACCTGGGTAGGCCATGATTCAAACTCTAAGCTCGTGTCTCTGTGAACTCGCCGCCCGAGGGAGCATCAACAGGCTGCAAACCTCCGAGAAGGTCACCACGTGAGGAGCATCGTCCGGCAGATCTTCTACCTACGCGTTTACCGCGGCAGAAGTCGTGGTGCCAAAAGCCCCTGGATCAAATCCCCTGGATGAAAGAGTCTGGTTCGCAGGGATATAGTTGAATTCTTATAGAGGCCTAAGCCTACTTGATCTATGGTTTCAAAACCTAGCTTTGACTACTTCTGTCTTGGTCTTCGCAGCTCTCAACCTGTCTGCGGGTCTATAGTTTTCATTGCCGTGTTACCGAAGCTAGAAACTCTTGGCACAGCAGGAACAGGAGATGTCTAGCCACCATGCAAAGCTTGAAGACATGGACCCCCAAGGATTCTAAATGGGAATGGGTCAAAGCCTGGAGCCATGGTCCACCACGTAGCAAAAAGACCTCCCACAGCCAAATATGTGACGTGTATAAAAGCCTTTTAAGGATCACGTAAAGTATAGCATCCTTTCTGATCAAACTGACGCTCTGACACAGCCAGCGGCCCCTTCTTCAGCCCTTCTTCGCGGCCCCGAGCTCCCCGCGGTTTCGAGCGCCGATAGACGGCTCGGTCCAACCGTGGGCATCGATCGGATCGTCTGACTGAGATGGGCGTTTGCTCCCGTTCTTTTCTGCGCCGTTTAGACTCTAAACCTCCACTGCAACACGTTCACCGGATGCAGTAGCGCCGCATGGCCACTGCCTCATCTGCGCCAACATGTTCTCCAGATGTTTGTGGGACTGCCTGGAGAAATGCGACCTTTGTGGCAATAAATACATTGAAATCTAAAGCTGGGTGGAAGGCATCGGCATGTAGACCCGACCATGTTCCCACTCGGACGGTCCGCCGATCCGCGTCTGGTCCGCTGGTCCGCGCCTCCAGCTTGACGTCCTGCATCGAGGATCGGTTGCTTTCGAAAGCCGGGACGCGAAGAAGTATACACTCGCAACAGAGGTTGAAAAACCCTATAGGCTATCCCATAGGTACCCTGGTGGGGTCGTTTTTCAGGTCACTTAACCTCTGTTGGTCACTCAAAAGAATCCAAGGGATGTGGCCCGGATGGGGTGGATTTTTTATGAGTTTTTGCTCCCGCTCCGTCTCAGGTCGATGGTCCATGGCCATGACCTTCGAAGACAGAGGCGAAGCATCGGGTCGAGGCTGGGTGACCAGTGGGTTCCAACGACCATCTCGGACACCGGTTGCTTATACGCTGCCTGGGATCCTCTGAGTCAAGGAGTGCAAGACGACAGGAACTCAGGTGCAAATACCCCAGGCCTAGAAGGGGGTGAATCAACTCATTGCCGGTGGACTTCTATGAGGACGTTGGATCGGTCACACCAGGAACTCGGTGTCACCATCGGATTTCACACCATCGGACACCAAGGATAGCCCGAAAACCGCAGCAACCTGGTCAGGGTTACCACCATCTTCCCTGTCCATCCAGCAAAGGAAGTCTCCATTCAACTTCCCCCAGCCTCCAACAATCAGGTCTACCACCGTGTCACTATTGGTCTGAACCTTCTAGGTTCATCCATCAGTCAAGCTTTCACAAGTTTTCTCCTCAAACGCAACGAGTCAACTCCCCGGCACCCACCAGACCTGTTGTAACTCCTGCACCTATGAACCCACTTGGAAAAAAACACATGATGCCCGTGTGTTAAAATAGACCAAAACCCATAGCAGATCTCAGTGATGCCAGCTGGGGGACATTGAAAAGAGTTCAAGTCTTTTGGAGTTGTATATCTCTTTCGCCTTCACGACCAAAACTATGGTTCCTGTTTACTTCAGATCCTTAAAGAAGAAAACTGCAAACCGTCGGTCTGCATTTCTTTTGAGGGAGGATTCCATTCAGGCTGACGAGGCTGCTTGTGATCTCAACACCCAGTTGAGGACATTCGTATTGTTCTTTAAATGGCTGAATAGTCAGTGGCACATTTGTGAGATGGTCGAGGGCCACTTCGTCGACTTGGCTATTTGTCGGCTACCACATATGCTTGTGGTGTTTTCGTGCTTCCGAATGGACGCAGTGTTGGCAAGACACTGTGGGACCGTGGGATTACTTTCATCTACTTTTAACTTGAAGGCGCACTGGCGTCCAGTTGTCCCTGGTGGCTCCGCTACCTGACGTGTTCGGGGTTTCGCCTCGATTGTTTAGATTGCATATGCTGAGGATCTTTCCAATTCGATATCATGTCTACCTTACGCATAGCTGAGGGTAGCCATTGCACGCGACGCGTGTACTAAACGACAAAGGCCAAAAAACACCCATTGATTGGCGGTCGACCAATTTATAAATTACACATCCACATGGTGTTTGTTGCCATCGAACTTGGTGTCAGGATCTGATCTCAAACTCGTCCACAGCCACCTCCCTTCATCCACCTCCATCGCTCCTCCTGCGTGCTGGACTTCCAGGCCGTCGAGGGCCCTCGCTTCGGCGAATGGTGCTGCGAGGCCGGCGTGGTCGAGACGGGCTCCGCCACGACCTCCAGTCACCGACCGCTCCGCGTGAGAGCGAAAAGCGAAGGCCGCCCGGTCCGCCCAGAGTTGTATGCAGTACAGTACGGAAGGGTGATGAAGTGGATCTGTTCACAATTGACCAAAGTCTGATGTTTCCCGAAATCGAGTTGATTTGGGGGTCAATAGTCCCAGACAGGTCGTGTCTGGGCATTGAAACATCCATGCCAACCCGCGGTCTTAGGAGCCACCTTCAACCTGCATGCTCGGACATGGGCCGTAGTATAATATGGAATGAACAAGAGAAACCTCAACTGTCACAGCAAGCCTGTCGCCACTTTGCAAGGTTGTTCTGCGTGCAAGTCGGTCGTTCTGAGGGGCATGACTTGCGTGGAAACCCACGGATTTCCCATCATTTCACCGATGAAACAACTGAACCGCTCCATGCAACCCCAGAACAATTATTGTGGTGGTGACAAAATGTTTATTATGTAGACGCCCAATTAGATACTGTAGAACAATAACATCCCTTTCAACATGTATAGGAAACTGTGACACTATATCTATTTGGGGGCCACTATATCATACATATCTATATAATCTGCATACTACATCAATTTAGGACCTTCGGTTGGTAGGTCATCGGACCAAGTTTGTGCCTTTCATGATTAACTTGGGCGCCATGTTTGATCATGGCACTGGCCTTTCATCCCATTACCGCGAGTCTTCTGAAGAGTCCCCACCTTTCACTTCACCCCATTCATTGATCTGAGTGGACCACCTGTCACAGATGGCCCTACAGTCCAGCCATACCTCGACTTCGACTCATGGCCACATACCAATCAAATCAAATCAGCATTCCTTTGATCATGGGTGAGTCCCCCTTAGCCTTCCATCCTCTTCCATCCCCCTTTCCGCCCTTTCCTTCTTCCCTTCCCTCACCTCCTCCTCTGCCTCTGCAGGATCTGCACTACTGACCTGAGACCATACCCACCGTCCGCCGTCCGTCCACAGGGCGACACGGAGCAGCGATCTTCGTCATGGTGGCTCCGACGTCAGGGCAACGGAGCGGCGACGAAGTGTCTGACTTCCGACAAGGGTAGATCGAGAAAACAGGAAAGGATGGTTCTAGCATAGGGGATTGTCTCCTATATATTAGAACCATCCTTTTAAGGGTAGAAAGTCTTTTTGAAAGGATGGTTCTATAGTAGAGGATGGCTTAAAGATCTTCAAGGTGCTCAGAAAAGCCAGATAGTCGAAAACCCGGCAACAGTTGGTAGATGATGGTAGATGTTGGTAGTATGTCGCATATATCAGCCGTACACAGTGCCAAAAACCTTCGATATCCACTACTATGATTATGACTAACAATGCCTAAGATGCTGGGAAGTCGTCGGCTGTCAGTGGTTCATCCTACTGGCACCTGACTAACAGGCAAATATATAATCAATTATCAGCCAAATGTTCAGTTAGCCATCTCACACCTCAGAATGAGTCCTGGATCCACTGGATGCACACCGCCTACCTAGGATCTTCCAAAGAGTGAAAACCTCCCAAGACACCACTGGTTCGGCTACCTTCCAACACTGGTCCAGTCCCATTTCCACGCTGGATGACCTACGTTCGGCCCCGAACCATTTCAACCAGCCCCCACCCGAAGGGCCTGGGCTTCCCAAAACCCCTATCTGACCGACTGGGAGCGCTCTCGTCCCAGAGACATAGATCCGCTGCACGGCCGTGGCGCGCGCCGCCGAGCCCGTCAGCAGATCGGTGGTGCGCGTCCACAGGTTCCGCAGCGCGCGCATGGAGCGACGCGCGTGGCGCCACGCGCGTGGAGCCGAAGACTGCCGGCCGTGTTGGCTTTGTCTTTTTTGGGGGGCCCAGGTAAACAGGATTGCTTAAAGGTTAGGTGCCATGGGAATCCATGGTATATTTTGTTGAAGTGCTATGTTGACTTTCTACGCAATTTCATCTGCTGCTCGTCCAAAGCGAGAAGGAAGTTGACAATAAGCTATAGACTATACTTAGTTTGATGCCATTGCCAAATATATCGTGCATCCAAGTGAGCAGCTTCGAAAACCCCTATTACTTTTTTGTATAATCCAGGTTTGCTTTCGCAAAGCTTTCGCGGAGCTTTCGCGGCCTGCATTCTGGCTTTCGCGGAAGGTGTGGTGTTATGTGGGGCTTTCGCGGCGGCTTTCGCGGCGATTCGTTTTCAATTGGGAAATTCGATTGGGATATTGTACAATAAAGTGATTGATCTATATAAGTTATCCGATATATGTGTCCTTAGGGTGGTCAAAACTGAACAAATTTCTTTCCGGCAACATCCTGGCACAAGGAGTTGTAGCAGCACCGTTCAAGTATTATTGTTGTCATCAGAAGAGGAGGAAAACTTGCTGAAACTTTTTGCTGGGGCCAGATACCTTTCCCGGATATTTTCGACTTTCGCGGTTCTTTCGTGAGGCTTTCGCGCGGGTTTCGCGGAAATTCGTCTGGGCTTTTCGATTTTCCCCTGAAACACTTGCTCTTCAGCGCTGCTGCTGCTGCTGGCTGGCTGGCTGGCTGGCCTGCTGCGGCTGCCTGCATAAAAATATGGTCACCCACACAAACAACACGACATGCACAAGAAAATCGACTTTCGCGAAAGCTTTCGCGACGCTGTTCTTCTGGGGTTCTTTCGCGGGGCTTTCGCGAACCTTTCGCGACCTGCGTTTTGGCTTTCGCGAAAGAATGTGAGATTACAGTTTGCACACTTTTCAGCATAGAGGTTTTTGAAGCTGCTCAAGTGAGAATGACTAGCACCACTCCTCACTGATCCTGAAGTAAGCTTGGCCATGGAAGAACTGTCCTGAAGGTTCACGTTTTGATTGTAGGAGTCTGGAAAACAACTGGTGCGTTTCAATCAATTCCAACATCTTCAGTTGGGAGAACTGCTCAGTTCATATTGAGACAGGAGCACAGTCAAGGGATGTCAAGGGCAGAAAATAAATGTGTCTTTTGTTCTTGTGATCATCTTTCCTTGAACCAATGGCTTCATGCCTTATAGCTCATGTCCGAGGCTTGCCAACACAGTCTTTATCTGAAAATGGCTCGGGAAGAGACTCCTCCCAGCCTTGGACCTACCAGCTCGGAAAGAGACACCCCAGCTTTATTCCTTCTGTCTAGACTCATGGTCCTCTAAGTCCTCCTAAGTCCACAAGAGAGGTCTTCCATTCTGACTTCAAATAACTTCAGCCCTTCAACTCGGACGTCCTTCAACTGCTCAGCAGATCGCCGATCGCGGACCCATCGCACCATCGCCCCTTTTGGACGCGGGGTCTGGACGGCTGGCGGAGGCCGCGGGGTCTCGGAAAGTCAACGCCAGTTGTCCCAGGAGTCTCAGTAGGTCGGATGTCTGACCAAGTCGACCCGGTGGTCCCGGTGGACACAGCGGACACACGAAATCAAAGAAAGAATGGGGGTTGGACACGTCTCCTGCTGGATTGTTCCCTGGTTATACCAGGTGAAACATACTTATGCGTTTCCAACCCAGAGATGTCAAGGAAGAAATGACTTACCAATTGGCGCCAACTGGAGGACATCAGCTTGTTGTTGTTGTTGTTGCTGCCTGTGCCGGCCTGACACTGCAATGCAACACACACACACACACACAAAGATGTAACATGATAATATAGATATATGTTGATATAATAGCACTAAACAATAGCCCACTTCTTACTCTTTCCCTGTAGCCTTTGCACTTTTCAGCGGGTCTCCTGGGGCAATGGGCGTCAATGGCGTTTGCCAAATTCAAACGTCCTTCATTCCAGGATGCCCTGATGGCCCTGATCCGGGTATGGCCCAAAAATCAAGTCCACTTGGCCCCTGCAGCATCTTTTGAGCTTGAACCTAGGGGTGCCTTTCAAAGGGTCTTTTCGAGCCACATCCAGTTGCTGGAACTCAATTCGACTGTCGTGAATCCAAATATCTTGTTTCATCCCACAATCCCTTGCTGCGAAACGTGCCGCGCCCGCAGCCGATTGGTCGATCCAAAAAAGGGCAAATCGTTGGCTCTTGACCCCTGTGAAAAAACAAAGAAACCACCGCAAGCTACATGCCACAGCCACATCCTTCAACCCCTTCCCACTCACAGATGACAAATATGCACACCTTTGTTGGGCAGGTCGGAGCAGCAAAAAAAGAGACTCGGTGGATCCAACGGGGGACGTGTCGACGCTAGAGCTTGGTCCTGGGAACCCGAAGTTGAGAAGGCAATGAAACAGGTGAAAATGGATGGCTTGTGAACAGGGGTCATTTTGCTTGCATCACTAGTAGCTGGGAGTCCAGTTTCAGGAGGCGGGGGCCAAACAAGAATAGAAGGGCGTGGTGCATCATATGTCGATGTGAGCAACTTTAGCCGCCAGGATGCCCTGTGCACTCTGGGATACTGTGGGTATGTATAAAATACGGTTGGTTGCAGTTGCAACAAGACCAGCTTGAGTTCCAAATGCGGAAGACCTCATCCGAGCATCCCCTCTAAATGCCGAATATCCACACCTTGCTTTTAAAGCAAGGTGTGATAGTGCAGCTACGAAGGGAGCTTCACAAAGCATTCAAGAGGGGCTAGGCTAGAACATGGAGTTCTTAGGCAAAAACACACACACCAACAACTAAATAATCGGATTCCCCCAATTCCCAAGTGACCTTGGCAGGATTTCAGCGTCCTCATGCAGAGGATCTTGAAATGGCAAGAGTTGAGGGTGGCAAAAAATAGACTTGTTGGTTCTTGTTCGATCTGATCCTTCAGTCCTCGGGTTAGCCAATCAGCAGAATAGCTTCAGTCCTGCTGCCCACTACAGCAAAAAGGAGGTTGTGTGCACATGTCTGTGGCGCCCATGCAACCGAACATACCATAAAACACATACAGTAACTCTACACAGCAGTTGTGGAAGGAAGGTTACATACGTTCTTCTACCCACTTCAATGGAAAGCCAAGGTTTCAATACTGTACACGTTTTGGAAGATGAAGCCTTTCTAGACTGCTCATGTGCAGCCAAATGGCAAGGAGTCGGCGGACTGTCCGGTAGCCAGGAAACCAAACAAAAATTGGCAAAGGATCCTTTTCCATCAATGCTACCCTAAGAGATGTTGGTTTGCCCAGAAGTCTTCTGAGGCAGGGGATGTTTGTGCTTGCGCATGCACCTTCGAAGACCTAGACCAGCCTTGTGAAGCTGCGGCTTCGCTGGCTTATGCAGCTTAAGTTTGCATGCCCCGATGCACAGCACACGGCATTTTTCGCCCAAATGAGGATTGAATGAAGTGCCAGGCATGAAATGCACTTGATATGCCATGAGCTTTGTAGACTTCGGACTTCGGCAGGCTTTTCGGTTTTCCCCGCAGGAGGCTAAAGCAACTGGCCACAGGATTAAGATGAAAGAAACTGCTAGTTCGGAAAGGATGGCACAAACCCAATTGGCTTGTCCCCCCTGGCGGTCCCTAATTAGTGAAGGATGCCCATTTACTGATCATGGAAGGACTGGCTACCATGTCATATTCTGGGCTACAAAACACAGCTGAACTCTTCCAGGTTTTTGAAGGGCCCCCAAATCGAGCGACCACATCGCTGGATGTGCATGTTAAAGGGCTGCTATCCCTACACGACATGATTCCGACATCCACCCCAGCTTGAGGTCGGCTCAGCGTCCAAACAAAGAAGCTCAGCACTGAGATGGCTGTGGGTCATGACAGCAAGATACCGACCGGTTGACCTACCTGGCGTAGGTCTTTCACTACATGGTGAACCAGGGCTCCAGGTTTTGACCCATCTCCAAATAAACACAATTGTGAACCGAAGATCTGTGGCTCTGCTAGGGAGGCACCTGAGACTCAAGATAAAGGAACAAATGGACCGTCTGTTCCTCTTTCTTGAGGACATACAGCATCATACAGCTACACCATATCATCTTAAAATCAATGAACTCGAGGCTTTTAGGTGCCCCCAGTTTGGAGCCCTCGCCGATGCCCTGCAACGGGGTGTTGGTTGTCTGCGTCTCTGCGCGTTCAAAGAGTTCCGGTGCCAAACTGCACGGATCGCGTGGCCCGGACCCGGATCAAGTGGCCTGTCCTGGCGGCGCCGTGCTGCACTAAGCTTGCAGGTTCGACACCCCTGGGTCCTTACTTATGTCTTTATATTTGTTTCTTTTTACTTGGACGCCTTTTCCGCACACTCGCGACGCACCAAATGTCCGAGCCCTGCATGTTACAGACCCGAAGAAACACCATGCTACACCTGCATGCTAAGCTGTTGGCAACAAAAAGGCCAAAGCCGGGATATGTCAAGACAGGAGACTCTCTCTATTGGTCTATTGCAACTATATATTTACCAGTACCCTCATCGTCACTGCAACTTTTGCTGACTGAAGAATAAAACAAAGTGTTTCTCAGGCAATGGTCGTCAAATCTGCTCAACTGGATCACGAGCAACCGGTGCACTAATGCCTGGGACTCGTTTGCGTAAAAGATCCTAAAAGTCACGTGGAGTGCATGCCTAAAAGTCAATTCTCAGTAATCAAACGGTGTGCCACATCTGGGCAAATGTAAAACCAAACTACAAAGCGGGTCATGTGAATAAATAAATCCACCGAGCCACACCGTGGTGGACCAATTCATTCACCATGGTTGACCAAAAGATTCCTTGTGAAGTTGATCCAACAAGTTGGGAATGACCACTACCCCACCCATGCAGTTAAGGAGATGAGCTAGGATGTGGACCCTTCAAACACAACAAGTAAGGGATGATGTGGAATGAAATGAGGGATCCTGAGGAATCTATAGCGGGGATTGCTCCCGCGGACCCCTACAAAATGGGGCAGCAAACCAGGCATCTATAGTCA